TTTGTATCTGTGTCCACAGGAAGCAGTGAAAGGAGAGCAGAAACAGACACGTTTACAGACTGAACAAACACATGCTGGCACATTCTTCATGCTGTTCCCCGAGCAGGACCAGATCTGCTCATTAACGTGATCTTTATTAACAGTGACAACATCTGAGGGATTTTATCTTCCTTCTTGGTTTTCTGACTCAGACACACTGGCGTCTCAGGTCACTTTACATCCATCTCCTTATTTTTCCTCCCCCCCTCCCCTCTCTCCACCTCCCCCATCGTTCTCCTCCTCCTATCCTTCTCTTCTTCCTCTCCTGCCACACCCAGAAAGAAGGTCGTTTACCGAAGGTCAGACTGAACCTGATTCCTCCTCTGACTCCCGCTTCCCCTCCCCTCCTCTAGGAGTGTGGATAAGCCTGCTGACCTTTGACCTTTATCCCCAGGACCAGAGGTTATTCTAACCTGATTGTTTGGATTTATATTTGTGCTGAGATGTGTTCGAAAGTTGCATATGTGACAGGAATAAACACAGCACCAGAGAAAATGAAGCTTTACTGAACTTTACTGTGCAGGAACCAAAGGATCCACCTTTAAATGCCCCGATCAGCACACGTTTTTGCTCAGTTCCATCAAAGGTTTTTCCTCAGATGCCTGAACAGCTTTTTGTTGGAGTCTGAGGTCTGTGGTGAAGTCGCAGTGGTCAGAATGAGCTTTGGTCCAGAGGTGCTCGAGGAGACAACCCTGAAGGAGAGTCTGTGGCTGCTGCAGAGCTCGATGATCTCACAGACGACGTCTCCCTGTGCTTTCTTTTTCTCTCTTCCCGTTCTTCTTTTCTGTCGCCCCTCACTCCACAACCGATTGTTCTACAGGAAGTTTTTTCCTGTTAAAAAGGAGTTTTTCCTTCCCACTGTCACAATGTGCTGATCGTATGGGGAGGGGTTGATCTTCACAGGATACTGTGGGGTCTTTAGAGTCTAAAGTGTCACGGTTCTGGATCATTCTGGATCCAGCTTCTTCAGTTCTTTATATTTTGGTATGTTTCTATAGTGTTGATTATTATTCTAGAATAAGTGCAGCGTCTTCTGCCTCCTCGTAAGTTGTTTCTGGTTTCCTGTTTTACTTTGGAGGTTCGTGTCTGGTGTCAGTGTGTTCGGTTTACGTTTCCACTGTCTCGTCAGCTGTGATTTCTCCCAGGTGTCTTCCCCTCCTGTGCCTCATCCCTTGATTACTGCCGTGTGTATATTAGCCCTGTGTTACCTTTGTTCTTAGTTGGTCCGCTGTTTACCAGCAACCTGCTAATAAAGCGGTTACTTTGAGTTCTACTTCGCCTCACTGAAACCTGCATTTTGGGTCCTTCTCTCCTTGCCTGCCGGTACGCAAACATGACATAAAGTGTCTTGAAGTAACTGTTCTTGTGAGTTGGAGCGACATAAATAACCTGAACTGATGTCTCTGCGAACAACAAAACGCATCGAATGTTGAACGTTACATCTTGACAAAGGCTAAAGAAAAAAGAAATCTATAGTTCTGGTTCTTCTCCACAGCACTGCATCAGAGGCTCGTTTAGACTCCTCCCCTGATGCCTATGAAATAATTAAAGTTGGTGGCTTCAGCAGAAATCTACTGACCTGATACTTAATTTCAAAGAGTAATGATATGATTAGAGAAGCCAAATGTGGAAATACTCCCTCATACTTCCCAGCCCTGTTAATTC